TGTGGTTTTGCGACTATCCAGTGCAGATGCAAAATTACAATTAAACAATGACGGCCTTCTTAAACGGTTCCTAGGACAATGGAAGCAAGAGGACGGTGCGCCTCCCACGTGGAAACCTGGAAAATTTATAAAACAAGACTATTAGTATATCTTTATTCTTTCCTTCTACCCTACATACACCAACCCATGTGAAAACTCGCTTCTTGGCTTATACGGCAATGTAAAATTTGTTTTCAGCTACAGCTTTCTAGGCTTTCTAAGCAGCATTAGTGCTCATGTGTAATAGCCTAAACTACTTCTCCATAAAAGTTCCCTATTATTTACCCGATCCTTTGAGAATCAATTAGAAACTCCCTAATTGTTTACGAAATGTGAATGAAGTTACTCAAAGGACAAACAGAAATTTAAAACCTTCTGGGATCAGCATTTTGACAAGAAGCATTTGTCAATTTTAAAAATAAGATAAATTATAAAGAAAATGCAACGTACCATCTAATGCGGGAGCTTCAACTTTACTGGACCGGTCGTTTCTCATCACAAACCTCTGACGGTCTTTGTTGAGCGACAAAAAGAGACGGAAAGCCACTGAGCGAAAAGCAACATATATCAACAAGCACAGCAAGAAAACGCGTATGAAAAGCACGAAGCGAAACAACAATACTACACACTAATGATCAAACCAGATCGCTGAATAACGCGAATTTCACGTCAATCAAGATATTACCTTTGATGAGCTGAAGGGCTGCCCCTAAAATTCTTTCTAGTCCGTTATTTCAGTCGTTTGTGCGAAAAAATAAAATGCAATTTATCTAAATGTTATTTCACACTATATATCTGCCAGTTTATTTATTTCGTGACATGAAACAAAACTGGCATTTTAAGTTAGTTATAATTTAAGGTATTTTGTTCCCTGACAGTTCAATAGGTCACTTCAAGAAATATTCTACACTGCTGAATGAATGCAAACTCCATGACAAGAAAATAACAATTAAAAAAGCAATACAATTCCGCCGTTGCCGGTCCCAAGCCCGGAAGAAAAAGGAGGAAGGTTGGAGAGCGTGGCAAGTCTCCGTAAAATTTATCCACCTG